TTTAGCGGTTTTTACAGCTTCATCTATCAAAGGCGGCAATGATGATGAGGATAAGAATGATGATGGTTTATTATTTTTATTATATATATTTGGTATTGTTACCAATCATTATGTCCCCTCTGTTGAGGTTTATTGAGCTATCTAACTGCTGTCCGAGTGGGGGTGTGCGGACCCCCGCCTCTGACTGCTTAGCTCGTGTCGGTCAATGTTCTGGGTGGCGAGAACTGCCCAGGTAACTATGCCGTTAGAACTACGCCGCGTTACTAGTTTCAAACAGGAAGAAACAAAGAAATATATTTATTTGCTATAAACACAATGCCCTAAAAATTGTTTAAGTTTGTAAATCAAATGCCAAACATCCATGTCAACATAGAAACGATAAACAACCGTTGATCACAGACACTAACAATAAACGACGCACGGTCTATAATCTGTCAAAACAAACACTGGACGAACCTACAATAAAAGTATTATCGAAGGGCCTGAATTTCGCAATCCCATATGAAGAAAATAAAATCCCGTATGAAGAAATTATCTGTAACGTTGAGGATTGTCTGTTTAAAAACAATGTGGGAAAAGAAGTTTTAGAGGCATTAACATATAGCTGACGTGAAGTACCGACGCTCTGGGAAGTCTGCAGTCTGTGAACATGTTCACAGACTGCAGATGCAGTTAAACAACATCCTAATTTCAATAGAGAAGATGGATGGGTGCTGCCATCTGCTTGGGATCCTATAATTAACAAAATTAAATCCAAACCCAAGCATACCACTGCTAGACTGCAAGATACTGTAAGTTCATTCTGCGTAAATCGAACCAAAAATTTATATTAAAAAACTGAAGGTAGCCGGGCTAACTGTGACATCGAGACGTCAAACATCTCAGTCCCCCCCCCCCCCCCCCCCCCGTGACCATGGGTTGCTGTAAAGCACCCGACCCGTTGCTGTAACAACGCCGGGAGTTAAAATAGTAAAATTAAACGCGATAAAATCCGTAAAAAGTAGTTATATTCAATTTATAGTTTTCATATGAACCAAAATAGTCTTAAGTCAGCTGTAAGTCACGAATTAATTTTGTTTTTTCAAAACCTTTTTTACCAAACAAGAAATAATTGTAGAAATAGCTCGAGCTGACATTTGTGTCAAATAACTGAGTTTTCGATTCTGTTTATATCACGGTTGTTACCATTTCTCTTTTTACCATCATCTTTTTTTTATGGGGAACGAACTTACGTACATGTAACTCGCTAGATCAAGGAGAGGTTATGACCAATTCACATCAACCAACTAAAACCCCAGGTGTTTCACCTTCGCTGCATATGGGTAGGGCCACGGAAAAGCTTTCGCACACATCTGGAACCCACTTTTTCCATTGAATCCTAGCCTACGTGCATTTTCTACCGACTTCAAACAAGAGCCGGAGCTCAATTCGACTGTATGTTTTTTTTTTATGTGTGTTACCTCATAAATTTGTACTGGGTGAATTGATTTAGATGATTCTTTTCTTAGTTGAAAGCTGGTGCTTCACATGTGGTCCCACATAAATTTGATCAAGATCTGACCAATAGTTTTTGAGTTATTCTTAATAATTTATATTGAATTCGGTTGTACAAAATTTTTAATTTTTAATTATTATTATCTCATAAGGTCTGGCATAGCCTTTAATTATACTTTTTTGTGTACCTTACATTGGACAAATACTATATTATTAAATGCTCTGAAGCATTCCATCTTAGTCCTCAGAGGTGACAACTAATACGTAGCCTTGTTTCTTTGAAATTGGTTGCTCGTATCTTCGACTGTGAGTTCGTTTGTCAGTTCAACTTTATAAAAAAAATCATTTATATTATTTCATAAAATAATATTCGTTCGTCATTTCCGTTCTCCCCACGTCACTGTCAATTTCAGACATCGAGTGTATTTACTTTCTAGCACACTGGCCACTCTCCTTATTAATTAAAAAAACATTATAAAAATATATCCCGTGTGATTCCTATGACGTGGAGCAGCGTTAAAAGTTTTTTTTTTCATAGGAGAGGGGGCAAACGAGCATGTGGCTCACCTGATGGTAAGTGACTACCGCTGCCCATGAACAGCTGCAACACTATGAAATACTATAAAAAAAATCGGTCACCAAAGATTTAGGAGGAGTGAATGATTCTGTCTACTTGAATTTCAGTGGCTTTTGGCAAAATATTGTCACAACAGTATTCAGAAGTTGGTCCAAATCATCGTAACACCATCAACGTCAACTTTAGGAGCGATCTGTTCATGATATAGTACAAGTTTTGTATATTACTATCCTAAAAAGGGACATTAACTCACTTATGTCTTTCCATAATATCATTATACTCTAAGGGCCAAGGAACATTTTGTTCACCGCGCTGCTTAGAGCATGTCCCCGAAATTATTTATTTTTAAGCATATAGTTTCCCTGCTTTGTTTTCCTTCACCAAGAAGTACGTGGTAAATCAGCAGCTAAAATTTCAATTGACGAATCCATTAGTTACTGACTCGTAAGAGTTCACTAAGAGAAATCTTGATCTCATAGCTTCTAATATATGGTGGTATTACCATGTTCTTGGGATCGAACATGGTAATACCGTCATATGAGATCAAGCTTTCTCTCATGGGACTCTTATGACACTTACCAAAGATATGAAGGATTCGAAAAAATCAAAGCAAACTTTACTTTGTAAGTTTCACATACAATAAATACGTCTATGTGTTTGTGTATATGTGTATACGTATACATATAATGTTTAACGCATAGCGCCGCAATAATTGCGCCCGGCGCCGGCTACGATTGCATATCAATACAATAAGTCGACATATTCGAGCGTAATTGAGGCTATTGCTTGCGACTTCTTATTGGCCTTTATTCTATTAAAGCTCACTGATTGATACCGTGTGCAGTGTGACGTTGACAAAACAATTGGTAAGACGCCGGCGTGCAATTTTCATAAGTGTAAAAATAAGTAAGATAAATTGCTGCCCTTTCTTTTTAGCCGTGATGGAGAGACCGGACTATACATATAATTTTTAAATATAATTTATATTCAAACATTTCTAAGGACCAATAGACTCTTGTGAATGACGTTTCATCCATCAGGCTCACTCGATCTACCTTATAGCTAGGCTGAGAATACATGGACTATGGTAGCCAGCTCTACATACTTATGATTTTTATTATAGTTTGATTTTATGCGTTTTCAATAATTATATTACTGGAATATATAAAAAATAGTGTCGAAAAACGAATAAATAAATTTTATGATACAAAAAATATTACATACTTTAAAAAAAAATTGTAAAGTTTATAAAGTGCTTCTCACTATAATCAATAAATTAAAAAATTATTTTTGGCTTATAACGAATTTTTTTTTATAATAGTGTGGCCATCTGCAAAAAATGGATATAGAGGCGTTGTTACCTTGAAAACGAAGGTAAATTCTTCACAATATGTAATTATACTGGATCTACATACCTTTCAAACCGAAACAGCAGTAGATACACACTGCTACTTTGCGGCAGCAATAGGCAAGAAGGCGGTTCCTATTCAGAGACACTAAGCAGTGTCAGATTAGCCTATAAGCAAATTAAGCAATTTCGAAGAGCATTACATCACGATGATATCGAACGTAATCGACGAACATTTTCGAAATTTAAAATTATGGAAATTGAAAAAAGACCTATTGGATGTTATCCGTATTATATAAAGGGCAGAAATACTAAGAAATTTACTGGTTTATTCGTGTAAAAAATTAATTTACTCTACCAGACTTATTTTTTTTATAGTTTTCATAATAGCATTATTATTTAAACTAAATAAAAATTATCATAAAATAAACTTGACCGCTTTTAGGAAATATGACATCTGTTCAGTTTTCAGGTTCTTTAATTTATTAAGTAAACCGCAACAGCCAGGAGATATCCTTTTTTGATTATAATACATTAATATAATAGTGTAATATTATATTAATGTATTATTCATGATATTGCGTTATCACGAAATGCTTTACAATTAAGACTTTTTATTACTATTATTACTCAAAATTTCGCGAAATAAAAATTCTAATTACTATTATCACACGGATTAGGCGCAATAAAATCTATATACATGCCGATAAATTTATTTAATTGAATAACATTTTATTTAACAATTTTTATATATTAATAAAAAATACAAAAAATATTACTTTCATTATTCAGTGCTGGCTGTTCCTTATACTTACCCATTTATTATTTTGATGGATTTATGAAATATAAACAAATGTAACATTCGTAATTAGTAATACATTCGTAAATAGTTATATAAGTATTAAAATTATTTATAAATATACCAATTGTAAAAATAATTTTTAAGGTTAGTGTGTATAATTCGTTGTTGGTCTGAGATTTGTTAATTAATTATTTTCTTTCGGTTTTTGAATGTTTACTACTATAGGGTAAATTAAAAAGAACTTGTATAATTTTTCAAAATCGGGTTAATTAATTTTAAAGATGAATGAACAATGTTTGAGTTCTTGTGTTTTATTCGCGTATATATTTACTACTTAACATATAGACATATTAGAAACACAAATTATTTTATTTTAATTAATTTACTTTACTTTAATTACTAAGATAATTTAGGAGATTTTGGAGCTCCAATATGTGTTAGCGGACTACACATGTCTTCGAGATATTTTAATTTTATTTATATTATTATAAATATATATCTATATTTATTCTAGATTAAGAATCAAAATGCAGATATTTTGTCACCTCTGAGGACTAAGAAGAACTATGAGAAATGACTCGTTTCCAGTAACAAGTGTCGAACTCTCTACGCTCACCGTACAAATACAGCGGAATTATGCTGCTATTTTATGCCGCTATATATTTTTTATTTTTAAACTATAGGTATATATTATTTTTAACTTATTTCGAAAGTCTATATAAACAAATCACTTTTTTCTTTATAATAATAAAATAAAAATATGATCGTAAAATGTTTACCTTATTAGCGTCTGAAAATATTTTGTCACGTTGTGGGCGGGAACTTTTCCCGCCTAACTCCGCGTGAAAGGAAGCGCGGTCACCGCGCGGACATTGTCACTTCGACACACGCGAACACTCGCGGATCGCGGCACCGTGCGACTGACGAGCGACGCTCTCGCCGCGGACGAACTGCGAGTAAACGCTTTGAAACCGCCCTCACCAAACAAAACCCCACCCGCATCGCCACCTCCACACTTTGAGCCAACTGCGTCGACTCCTAGCACGCACGAATGGACCAAATGTCCAACATCACTAACGCGGATTCACAAATATTGGATGAAATGAACTTTCCCTTTTCAGTTCTTGGATGCAAAAGTTCTGCCAATTATAAATTGGTCGCTAATTTTAGACTGCATATTCAACAGCGTTTTTTACGTTTTCTGAAACAATTATTAAATTTTACTGTGTCACATGATTTTATTGAAATTTTATGGGAAGTAATGTATTATTAATAACAAAAATATAAAATTTGGCTTTTGTAAAAATTTAAAAACCATTAGTTAAGTCTGGTGTTGGTCAAATTTAGTGCCAACTCATGGAGGTAGAGGTAGCATAAAGAGCATTTTAGCACGCGCACCTTCCCCGCTCCCGCGTCCTGATTTAATAGCAAGCGCGGGCACTGATTCACTTATACCGAACGTAACTACCTAACCCATCTCTTTCGCTCTTATACATGTGGTATTCTGTTGCCTTACTCAGTTGTTTCAGCGTGCGTCCGAACTACTAACGACGGAAAGAGACAGAGTCGCGGCCGCGGACACTTCTTTCCTACAACTCGATTTGCATGCGGGGGTCGCTCCGCAAACTTTATGTCCTCGATTCTTAAATTATTTATACATTTGAAAATATTTTAACGGCATGCTCGGGAGCTGAAAAAGATTGCCTAGTGATAAGAATTAGCGAAATGAATTGGCCGGTAGGTTAGATTACAGCACGGGTCAAGTTATTAAAGTCAAATTTCTGTGATTTCTGTTCTACAATATTTCATCACTTAACTAATAAGGAATTAAAATGCAATGGAATATTCAAATTTTTATTGCAAAAAAAGTTTCTGACATTAAAAACAATTACCTACATAATTAAAGGGAAAAATCTAAGACTTTCAGTTTTCCTGCAAAATTATGTATGCCACAACAAACATTGGCAAATGCAGGCAACTACATTCAGTATACAAGCATATTCATTACCAATTGTGATGAAAACTAACATACATAGATTATTTTAAATATGCATATATGCTACCTATATGAAAGTCAGTGATTTTTGATAAAAGCAAAAATCAATAAAAAATACTGCAATTGCCAACCCGCTCGCCAAGCGTGGCAGCTATAGCAATATACCCCCCATGACCAACGACACTAATAAACGGCCCCCAGTCCCCAGCGGCCCCACTATGCCTGGCTACGGTGGCGACCATGGTAACGGCGGGGCATGTGATGCTAAGAATCTCCGGTGGAGGTTCGGTTGCCGCCTATAACGACTCGAACTGGCAACTTATAACGCACGCACCCCGAGGACTGACGATAAGATCCTGGAGCTGGAGGAAGAAATAGACAAGTTGCGCTGGAATATTATAGGATTATCCGAGGTCCGAAGAGAAGGGGAGGACACGGTAATCCTCGAATCCGGCAACTTGTTATACTATCGGCAGGGCGACCATCTGTCCCAAGGAGGTGTCGGATTTATCGTCCACAAGTTTCTCGTTAACAACGTTGTAAAGATTGGGAGTGTGTCGACGAGGGTTGCGTACCTTATATTCGCTGAAGGTCATACAGGTTTACGCACCAACCTCGGCACATCCCGATTGGGAGATGGAGGAAATGTATGAGGATATCTCTAGAGCCATGCATTCCTCCAAAACCCACTATACGGTGTTAATGTGAGACTTCAATGCAAAACTAGGCACAAGAGATAACGGTGAGCTGAAAGTAGGGAAATTTGGAATATGGCAACGAAACTACGACTTCATGGAGAAAGAGGGACTCTTTATGATTAACTGCTTCTTCCAGAAACAGCCCCTTAGGAAGTGGATCGGGTCGAGCCCCGACGGTTCGACAAAAAATAAGATTGACTTCATTATGACGACTAGACTGCAAAACTGTTCAGTGATGTCTCAGTGATCGCGAGAGTGAAAACTGATAGCGATCACCGAATGTTTAGAGGCACACTGAACCTAAACGTTAATTTGAAGAGGTGTTGTCTAATGAAGTCAACGCTCCGTCCTCCTCGTGCTCTAATCCAAAGTCCCGAAATCTTTCAGCTCGAGTTACAAAACCGTTTTCAGTGCTTAGAAGATTGCAATGCGTTGGACGATATGAATGACAAGCTAATGGAAACTGTCTGAACTGTAAGTTTTACAAGACCCGCCGCAGAAGAACACAAAAACTCTCCGATCACACTCTTAGTCTCATGGCTGTTAAACTGGAAATGAAGCAGTCTTCAGTAGATTTGATAGCATACCTGAAATTTTGAGGGGATTGAGAAGTTCTATGGGCAGCTGTTCAGTCATCGTTGGAGCCACACGCAAGTGTGAGTAACGATCCAAGAGCAAGTCTTATCCGACACTATTACAATGATATCCCGAACGTCAGTCTGAGCGAGATTAGAATGGCCGTGCTTTGTGGCATTCCTTGGGGGAGGCCTATGTTCAGCAGTGGACTTGTGAAGGCCTGTAATGATGATAATGATGATTAGTATATTGAATTTTAACTTTTTTTTGTTTCTTCCACTCGCAATATATTTATTACTCTTTTAAATACTGTTGAAAAGTCCATTGAATTAGAAACTATAATTTTTACTAAATATATTCAATGAAAAGATTTTTATTTAAAATTGGCCTAGGCTTCTGACTCCTTTCTCCTTCAAAATAACGAGATGTAGAGACAGGTCTTATTCCCCTTACATACTCGCTTTCATCCTCATATCACTCCAAATCACCACGCTTTATTTGATGCGATTTCAGTTATTTGCCGTATAGTTAGGTACGTGAGTGTAATGTCAAAGTCACCTGAAGCTTTGCCGCCCTATAAAACAAAAACTAAGAGGAGGACAGAGACAAAAACAAAAAGTCGTATACTATGACTAATATATTAAGAAAAAAATAGCAAACAAGCTTTGGTAATAATTGGGAACACTTGAAAAATCAACCTAAAAATCTAACTGCGTGCAGTGCAGTGCATACTAAAATCGACTGAAAATCACTGACCTCTATATGTACAAGACTAAATATTTACTATAATGTCAACTGTCAAAATGGCGTCGATAAAGCAGCGCCCCTTTGACCCTTTATTATTTGATTGACTGACGAAAAGCTACCGTATCACAAAGCCATCTACGCAAATAAATCTGTAATTTTAGAGTTATAAGAAACTGACCATATTCACCGGATGATCATATTACCCTCACACACTATATAATTTTTTTTGAATATTATATGTTTAAATGATACTTCTTTTAGATTTTATTTAAAAGTCTTATATTTAAGCAAAAACTATCAGGTAGTTTCTTCTAATGACATGTCATATAAAATTATTATAATCAAACCAGCGGCAGAAGCGAATCTTTGTTCTCTTATTCCAGAGACCAAAGTTAAAAAAAAATTTTGTACACTTTTTTTTAAAAAAATCCTTAATTTATTTGGATTAAATTTACAGATTAGCCCGGACAGTCCGACAGATAGACAAAAAATTTAAAAACGGTTATTCATGTCTTGATTGCATGCAAATAACCCCCTCAGCTCAATATAAGAAATTTATTTCGATATTACAGATAGTAGGCACTTCAATTTTAATTATATGTGTATAGCTTTAATTTCGATTTTGTTTACCTTTGTTTACGTTAGATGAAATTCTACTTCCATTTAGCATTTAGAAAAATCGATAACTACTATATTTCAATCATTTATAGTACTCATTACAGCGTATGAAAGGCCAAAGCTGAGCATTGACTGCCTCATACTTGCCATATAAATCACACTTTAACCGTGTAGTGGTGATGTAAGAATATCCACTGACCCATATCGTTTCTAGTGCATAGTGGATATTCGTAAGAGGCGACAGAGGGAAAATAAAACACGAGATGGGCAGCAGCATCGTCCTGATATTAACCAAAAATAATAATAAAAATCCCGCTTGCCAAGCATGGCAACTATGGAAAAATCCCCGTATGAAGCAATCTATAAGGGAAGCCTTCAGCAGTGGACTTTTATTGACTGTAATGTTTGGACGGATGGATGGATGAATGAAACCTCGCTTGGCAAACAGGTTATCTATTGCAGTTTTTTGTAATTTTAGAAAACTTATATTACGTTACTTTATCGGAAAAATGACGTATGTATGTAAAACACCTCTGTATTTTTTTAAGAATTAAATAAGAATATTTTTGATAGCTCCAAGCCGTACATTTTAATAGGGGCTAAGCGCGCGCTGTAAATTTCACAGTACGCGAGAAACCCGGGTTCGATCCCCGTCGGCACCAATGAAATTATTTAAGTGCTGATTTACTACGTGCTCGGCGGTGAAATAAAACATCGTGAGGAACCCTGCATGCATATCTGAGAAATAATAAAAAAAATTCGAAGACGCGAAGTTCACCTTTGCTCACGGAAGGAGGACTGTGACCAGCTGAGGGACGTTATAGGCTGTAACTTTAACTTTCAACTTTTTGATATGCTAATATATTTTTATTTTTTCCCAAATGTCAATCTTGTGTACCTACATGGTTACTGACTGAAATTCAAGACTTACCAAAACAAAATCCTAAGAGTTATAATTCTACATATTCTTGGTAAGGCCTGTATTCGGTATAGGTTAAAAATGGTGATAGTGACCTTAAAAGGTGGTAGAAAAATATATAAGTCGGGAGGAGAGCAGTATCGGTATTGCGAGGCGCCGCTCTTCCTAACCTCCGCGGCCGAAACTTGGTTGGCGGCGGAGCCAAAGACCAGATCCTTGCCATGTGTTCCTGATACGCCTTGCCTAAGAAGGAGAATGGGGAGGAGAAGTCCTCCCTCGAGAAGAGGCTGCCATGGGGCGGCCAGTGCTGTTGGGGCCGCGGATATGTGCGAAAGCGTTTTCGTGACCCTGCCAGTATCCTGCGAAGG